TTTTAAAATTCATTGTTAAGTGGATAATAAATAATAATAAATTTAGAATAAAAAATGATAACAGTTTCAATCGTTCAGACTCATCACTTTTTTAGTGATTAAGAACCTATTTGTTTTTGTTCTTTGTTTTTTTGTTCTCAAAACAATTCTATAAAATTGTTTCTTAGAACAAGTTTTGAAAACAAAAAACAAAAGAATTTGTTTGGATAATAATTTCAAAAAATCATGTTTGAACAAAAAAACCAAAGAAAATTATATTTGGTAGGTGATAGTTATCCCTGATAATGATAAGTGATGGATAATAGGTGAGAAAAGAAAAAGATTTCTCAAAAATTTTCAAAATAAAAAATAAAAAACAAAAAAACATGTAAGAGTTATTTTGGTTTTTTTGTTTCTAAAAACATGTTACTGTTTTTTGTTTTTTAAAACAATCAACTGAAAACAAATTACTAAACAAATTTTTTTGTTTTTCTGTTTTTAAAAACAAAAAATTGTTTCCAAAACAATAAATCAAATAAGCTCTAAATTTTTTCCAGAACTCTTGATAATTTTCCCTGCGCAAAAGAGCATCACGTGTAAAACATTGCAAGAGGTCCTAGGCACCACAAAAAAAAAAGAAAAAAAAAACTCAACTCTAGGGTAAGTTAAACTGACAGATGGATATCTCTATCTATAGCTTCGACCATGGATACTTTGGAAAGGTAAAATATGCACTAATTTTATGAGTTTGAATTTGAATTCAAATATTCAAATGTCTCTTAATTGATAAGATTATAAATTTGAATTTAAATCTAGAATTAACCTTAATTAATTTTAAATATACATATATCTAATATACATATGTAATCAGTGCAATATAATTTAATTTGAATTATATTGATTAGATCTGATTCAAGATATTTGACTGAGTCAAAATATTATGATCATATTTAAATATTTGACTGAAATATTTTTTAAATATCTAATCAAATAATCTAACTCATTAAGAGCCGATTCAAATCCAAAATTCCAACAATATCCGTGTCTTATTGAAAAAATTACAGTGTGCTCTGTAAAGGGAACGCGAATCCCGAGTTGTGATTGGGAAATTGACATCTAGAGTCATCACTTGTTATTGTCTTGAAACTTTTTTGTGATTTGTATATTTTTTAGGATTTCATAATAACTTCACGATCTCATTTATAAGATCTAGGAGAAAAGGTCCAATATACAATATTTCACGGAACACTTATGATTAATCTTTCAAAATATCCTTATTTCTCCATAATGGTTTCTTTAAATTATACCTCTTCGATGAGTGGGACAGTGGGTGACGCCAGTCCGAAGATAATTTTGGAAAGTTGGAAAAAATTACATTTAACTAAAGATAATTTCGGAAATAAAAGTTGGAAAAGATTTACATTTAACTAACTGTGACTATTTTTTTAATTTTAACAAAAAGAACTGAAGAGAGCATACATATAATACTTCTCACATTTCAAAATCTAAATATTTAAGAATTTTAAAATATCAGATATATTGCTAAACTTACCCTTAATCATTGTAATTAAAAAATGATTTAGCATACATATAATACTTCTCACATTTCAAAATCTAAATATTTAAGAATTTTAAAATATCGGGTATATTGCTAAACTTACCCTTAATCATTGAAATTAAAAAAATCAAAATCATTGCAATAAACGAGACAAAAATATATAAAACAAGGCAACAAAATTTCTCCGAAACAAATGTATTTTGAAGCAGCGGCGGCACATCGATCCCTTCTCAACGTCTGGTTACCGTATACGCTTATAAGTGGAAATAAGCCACGATCGTTCAATGCTTTGCCTTATTTCATCAAATTGACCGGCGCTTGTTTCACTGTGAATGAAGGAAACTAATAATTTATGTCAGATGAAACATTAAAAAAAATCCTTGACGGATAAATATGATAAAAAATTCGTAATTAATGCGCTGTAATGGTATAAAAATGGGTAGAAAAAACATCTCAGACAAAAACAACTGTGACACTTTAATTTTAGAGGAAATTACAATTAGATCTAAAAAAGGAAATAATTATAAAATAAGTTTCAGAAGCTAGTTGTTTTCTACTTTAGAGCTTATTATTATAAACTGTTTACTTTATTAGATTTTTTTAGTAATTAATTTTTTCTTAAAACCTCATTGTAACTTTCCCTTAATTTTAACATCGCAAAATCTTAAAACGTCAGATCAATATCAGTCTTTTGCCAATATTGTGAAAAAACGCCAGTTGATAACAATGACGTCATAAAATTGATGAGAGCCTAAAATAAGATGCCACGAGAATCTGAGTTATTGTTTTTAATTAAATAAATATATTTGAAAGGGTGCTATTGAATATGGATCATTTGATTTTAACCTGTCTAAATTGGGTGAGTTTGACGAGCGTTGGGTAGGGAAGTCAGCTGCTCCTGCCAAGGGAACTCTAATTTTATAGGAATATCACATGCTTCGCTCCCTCCTGTTTTTGGATTTTAATTTTGTTCCTAAATACATGTCATCTCCCAATTTTTGATGTATCGTTATCATTTATTTCTAATAACAACATTTTTAAATGAAAAGTATTAAATAGAGGAAATTAAAATTTTAAACAGCACGACTTCAAGTGGGGGGCAAAGATAGAAGGAAAGACACAAATTACTACTACACGCACAGAGTTTCTCTGTCTTTTACCAGAGGACAATACACTTTTTATCTTGATACTTAAATTTAAAAGAAAATATTTAATGTATCCAAAATTTACTTCTATTTAATTATAAAATATATACTTAATTAATTTTTTTATATTCATCAACCCAAAAATATTAGTTTTTATTTTTTTTCTCCAATCCCTCTTCTTATTTATTTCATTTTTTTTCTTGAATTGTTTAAGGTAAGATGACACTGTGAAAGAAGGCTCTATCTTTTATAGTAGCAGTAGTAATAATCTTTAAAAATATTTTTTTAAAAAAAAGAGGATGCAAGGATGAAATGTGAACAACCGAATGAAAAATAAGAGAAGTAAATTTTATTTTTATGTAACTAAAATAATGATTAATAAGTTAAATTTAAGAAATATCACTTAGGAAGTTAATACTTGATAGTATTCGTGTTTGTTTATCGAATTATTTTGAGCGATTTTGTGCATTTAAAGTTTTTAATATTTTTATTTATAAACTATTTCATAAAATATAGGAAGTGATTAAGCTTTTTTTGAATAATATCTTGATTTAAATATTGTGAGTAAGTTTGATAAAGTGTATATGTTATAATTAAATCAGTGTATATTTTGTATATATTAGAAAAGATTTATAAATGTTTTATATGTATTTAATTTATTTAAATATTTTTCTCCAAATTTAATCATCAAGATAAAAAGTAATTTTCTTACAAAATCTACTCACCTGTTTTTATTTAGAAGGAGGTATAAAATAAGGGAGGGGATACTTAATCGCCACTGCCTCCAAAATTCAAAAGGCACGGAGATGTGGCAGATAGATGATAAAATGAGGTATTTAGCTGTAATTTTTGCTATAAATAAAAAATTTGTCAGATTGAACGTTCATCTAGTGGAGGAGTTCCTCTTTCTTATTTTGAAAATGCCTAACATTTACCCCTTTTAATGATCTGGGTGTGACATCGAAATACTTATAATTCTTTAAGAAAATAATTCAGTGACGAGAATTCCCTGAACCTTAGTTGTTATGCACCTCGTTTTGTATTCCCTCCGTTTCTTATTATAAGAGACATTTGATGGTTATGGCATGTTTCTATATATAAGAGACACTTAAAAGTTGTCTCTACTTTTTTTGTGTTGATTTTCTATTTTACCCATATTTATTATCTCCAACTTACACACTCTCTCTCTCCCACTTCTCTTTCTTTTAATAATTTAATTGTTCTCTCTCATGCTCTCTCTCCTTATTAATGAGGGCATTTTTGGAAAAAAAATTATACTTTTTACACATTAATTGTTCTTAACTAATTTTAACTATTTTTTTTATTAACGTACTTTGGTTATTTGTCTCTTATAATAAGAAACGGAGGGAGTAGTTTTTAGGTAGTACGTCATGCATTTATTACAAATCATCAGTATCTGCTCCTCTAAATGAAAAAAATAGTATAATTTTCTTGAGAAACAAACAAAGACATCTAAATCACCTTTTTATCAGAACAAAAATTAAATCATTCAAATTAAATATAAGCCATAAATTAAGAAAAGATGTACGATTTTCAAGATACTTAAAGGGTAAATTATATATTTAATCCTCTAAACTTACATCAAATTTCAATCTGATTCCTTTAGTTGATAAAGCATATTTTAATTTGAGTCCCTTAATTTTAAGTCCATAAATATAAGTTGACGAAAAACGTTAACTTTGCATTTTTTTTAATTCAATAATTTCAATATTTTAAAATCTAAGTACACTGTTTTTTTTTTGGCCGTCAAGGATACTCTGTTTAGTGTTTAGTGGTGGTAAAGTCACCGTACAAATTTGTAAAGTCAACAATTTTTCTTTTTTTTTCTTTTTATATAAATGACAACTAAAAATACAGATGTGAATTGAGGGACCAAACTTGTACCATTCTAGAAGCGCTAATTCATTATCTACTTCTACAGTCTAAAATATAAACTAAACTCTGTTAAAACCGTTTAATTTTTTTATAGGATAATATTTATTTTTATCTAAATATTTAATGAATTTTTTTAATTTTATCTTCATATATTTTCTTTCTTTTTAATTCATTTATTATATATTTTATTTATTTATTTATTAATAAGGATATATTTTGAAAAAAATAAATACCTTATATAGGAGTATTGTTTTAAAGTGATTTTAATTAATTTTTTAATAAACACCAATAGATAAAATTTAACTGGTATTTTGAATCGGGACGGGAACCGGGGGAGCATTACATTCCCAAATCCCAAGCACCCGACCTATCATGACATGTCTCGTACAGGGTGCATCTATTTATATCCCTGCCTTGGAGTCTCTTCCATAGCACTTTTCCTTGGCCCTCCCCTCCTTCACGTCCATGGCTTCTGCAGCTACCATCTCCTCCTCTCACACTCCCAACATTTCCTGCATCAAAGACTTCGCCGAATCCAACGGCGTCGTCTCCATCCCTTCTGCCTACTGCTCCCTCGCCGACCGTCACGATGAAGTTGACGACCGCCTCTCTGCTTCCATCCCCGTCATCGACTTCTCTCTCCTCACCTCTCCCGATCCTCAAATCCACGCCAATGCCCTTTCCCAACTCGTCAAGGCTCTCGTTGAGTGGGGCTTCTTCATGGTATAACTTTTAAAACAGTGCACACACCATCACCATCTCTTCACTTATAGTTTCCTTGGAGTTACCTTTACTACTACTGTTTCCCATATTTGTGGCTGCAGATCGTAAATCACGGGATTCCGGAGAGTCTGACCGAAGATGTCATGAAGAAATCTTTCGAGTTTCACAATTTGCCTGTTGAGCATAAGAAGAAGTTTTCTGATACCGGACTGTTCACTCCCATCAGATATGGCACCAGCTCCCATAGTCAGGGAGAGAAGGCTCATTACTGGAGGGATTATCTTAAAGTCGCCACTCATCCCGAGTTCAGTTTTCCGGACCATCCCCCCGGTTTCAAGTACGCACACCTGAGCCTATTTTTCTTTCTTTTCTGGACCTCTTTATGTTCATCGTTCTTATTAATGCATATCTTTCTTGTTTGTGCACGTAGGGAGGCAGGATTTGAGTACACTAGGAAAATCAGGGACATAGTGAGGAATTTGCTCCAACAAATAGCAGAGAGCTTAGGACTGGAACACAATGCCATCGTGAAGTGCTCGGATTTTGATTCCGGGTTTCAGAAGTTCCAAGTGAACCTGTACCCTCCGTGTCCTCGACCAGACCTTGCTCTGGGGCTGCCTCCTCATACCGACAATGGCTTCTTCACCCTTCTCACCCAGAATGGAGTTTGCGGCCTTCAAGTCAAGTTTGATGGCAAATGGGTTAACGTCAACCCAGTCCCTAACTGCTTACTCGCAGTCACCGGAGACCAACTGGAGGTACTTTATTTTATTTTATATATATATATATATTTTAACCGCATAAAGAATGACAAAATATATAGTTACTGTATATATGTACATGTTGCTGATTCTGAATTTGTGAGATGGCGGGTTAATAATTGGTGTGACTGTGCGGGAGCATGCAGGCTGTGAGCAACGGGAGGTACAAGAGCGTGTGGCATCGAGCAGTTCTAAATTCGAGCAGCACGAGGATGACCCTCACTGTGGCCAACGGGCCAGCACTGGATAATGAATTGGGCCCGGCGCCAGAGCTTGTGAAGAAGGAAGAGGCTGTGTTCAAGAGCATGAAGTACAGAGACTACGTATTCCTTCAGCAAGAAGCTAGGAGTGCGGAGAAAAGAGCCTTGGATGACCTCCGCATCAATTCATCTCCTAATTGAGCTCCTCACCTCTTCCACGCGCAAGTTGGCGTCCACGCTATGGTTATTCGGCTTTTCGATTCTATTCCTCCCATGGGACCCGCATCATTAAGATGCTGTGTATCGCCATATTTTTCTTAGGGTTATTCACACTGTTGCTCAATAAAGTGCCCATGTCCATATGCTGGATCTGAGTCGTCCAATATACCATGCGAGTGATCATCTTGTGCGTAATAATGTCGTGTTTTGTCCGTCTTTCATGAGAATGGAAATTAAAATAATTTTTTTTTATGCACCTCGTATTTAACCTTGTGTTTAGATTGTGAGGCATTCTCTCATCTCCAGTAGCGAACTGCTAATGAACAGAAAAAAAATGAAAGAAAATAATTAAATTATGCAGCTCAAGCGATATTTTTCGAGTCGAACCCCATTCCATAATTTGCCGCTGGCAGAAAAATCACATAATTTAATCTGACTACAAAAGCCGGCGCGAAGTCCATTCAAAAAAAAAAAACCAAAAAGGCAGACGGTAAGTTAAGAAGACACGTGTCCATGACATGTGCCAATACGTGGGTTTTAAATGTTTGGTTAAAAGGATATTATTTTGGCATGGCAATGTGTCATTCCCAGCATTAAAGTTTAACTCGTTTTTGTTGATTTCTTCCAAAACGCATGTTAAACACTCATTTGGTTCTCTTAATGGAGCAGGAAAAAAATATTTTTCTCCTATTTATAAGTTATTTTATTAAGTTTTTAATTAATGTGAATATACTGTTTTATCTTTCATTTATTACAGTGTAGATATTTACCTTGTTTAAAAGGTGTATATATTAAAAATAGGTAAAGTTAAAAATTTGTTATATCTGAATAGAGAGTTAATACATTTTAATTTTTTTTTAGTCTGTGTGAAACGTGCTAAAGTACCTTATAAATAAAACTAGTGGAATACTTTTTTTTTTGTTACAAGCGCGGAGTACTATTTTATTATAAGTAATTTATGTGCGTGCAGCGTCATACTTGGGAAATTTGCTTTGTGGAAGCAAAAGCAAATGTATAATTGTTGAACTGGTCAAAAAATATATATAATTGTTGAAAAAAAAGGCAAATATATAATTACACAAGGACACGCGCACACACTCTATGTGCATGTGTCCGGGGTCCCGCTCTTGCAATAATTAGAAACTCCCTTTTCCCTGAAAAAGGAGGTCTAAAATTTCAGAATAAAAATTTTCAAGCGAGCTAGTTATCTCATGTTTCTCTTTATGCATATTATGGTTTTTTTATTCATCTTCCTCTCCAATTGCACATCTGAGAGCACCGTTTTCGCCTCGCAGTAGTGACATGCTAATATACACAAGATATGTGTGCGTATATTCCCCGGGGGGAGGGGGATTTGAGCAAAATGCTGTGAAAAGGACGACCAAAGACGTATCATTTTTTTTTTTGGAGGTGATTGTTAAAGTGAGAGAGCGAGGGGCAAGGGGGATACAAGGTCAAAAAAGGAAATGAAAATGAAGAAAGGAAAAATAGCAGGTATTCGGAGTAAATATCTATCCATGAAAATAAAACGAAACACATATATTTCAGTCAGATATCTTCGATTTTTTCTGCGATATTCAGTTACCTAACTCGACCCAACAAACAAATTAAATGTCATCCAACATCTTTATTGATTGAAATATATCTTTTTAAATGATATATATATAAATATACTCTTTCGGTTTCTAATATAGAACCTAATTATTGAGTTAGTTTTGGTCCTAAATATAAGAGACCTATTTCTCATATTTATTAATTTTCTTTAAATTACCCTTATGAATACTCCCTCAACTATAATCAAGTTGAAGAGGGAGAGGAGGTATTAAGAAAGATGATTATGGTGTTTTAAGAAAAAGATGTCACTTTTCTTATAATTAACTAACTTTCATAACTTCTTTAATCTAATCAAATTAGTTAAATGAGTCTTATATTAAAGGCCGAAAGAGTATATATATTCCGAAACAAAGGGCGTTATATGCTTGCCACTCTGCTCAATACTTTATGGTTATTATAAAAAGCATTTTGGTAATCATTTTACCACAAAAGCGCCTTCAACCGAGGATACCGTGTTTCATGCCTTGCTTGGCTGAGTCGAAAATTTATTCGGATAAACAGCGAAAAACATTTTGTTTAGTCTGTTAAGCGGCTGAACCTTCTAGGATATGATTCATAATTAAAGCTATGACTTTTCATGGGGTTAGGTAATGGAGACGAGAGTGCGGGATTTGTAATGAAGATGATAAATTAATAGCAGTGTAATGAATGAATGATTTCATATAGTAACAAAACATGTGAATCAGTGCGTCACACTGAGATAGCAGTGAGGAATAAAAATTAAAATAGGAAGCCTCCCGTTGGGAGCGTGGAGTGATTTAAAGAGGGGTGGGTGCGTGTGCTCTGAACATAGCATAATTTTTCACTTCTTATCTAAAATCCCTTGTAATTACGGCAACCTCGTTTAAAATCACATCGAACTCATCAAGATCAGATCCGACACGGAACGGGGATAAGACTAGGAGAGATATACGCGTCATTTACACTTTTCAAGGAATTTCAAGCTGCTTCTCTGATCCAAGGCAAACAGAGAACCCCCCCCCCCATATGTAAGTTATTTTATTGAAATGTTAACATATGCATATTATTTTATTCCTTGTTTACTGCTTAAATTATTTTTTATTTGAGAAATATATATTAAATAAAAAATATATCATATATGAGTAAAGTTAAAAAAATTATTAAATCTAAAAGCATATTTTTTAGTTAAAATGACACGTGTTGAGAGTAAGTAAGAAATAAATATTGGAGCCTCTCGGTTGGCAAAAAAACAAAAATTATAGCCTCTTGATCCTTAATTCCAATTTTCCGTAGCTCATAAATAAATAAATAAAGAAGAAGGACAGGCAGCACATACATAAGGAGAAAAAGGGTTATTTTAATTAAATTGTGCAGAAAATTAGTTAAGAAAATGTAAATTAAACATGACAGACTGTTGAAAGTAGAAATTAAAATTTTATGTGAAATTTGTTTGTAGGATTGAAAATTAATTAAAAGCGCTTATCAAGCCGGTGGGAAGAAAAGAACGACCGGTTATTAAATGTACGCATTTAGTGCCAACCAAACACGGAGTGGTCGTGGGTCACCGCTATTTTGTATGGGCCTCACACTCCCACTGGCTGACTGACATAGGCGCGGGGCGCACCCTGGGAGCTTCACACTCCTCAGTGTACTGCTCCTCGCATTTAAGCTTCCCTCCGTACCTCCCGTCTCTCAACGACGTCGTTTGAAAGAAATGGAGGGAAAGAGATCATTAGCTCACACCGCCGCTGACGGGGAACAGGTGACCACGTCCCCTCGCTCTGATCCCTCCATATCTTGTATACTAATAATTGAATCAAACGAGATGGCATATAAAATTGTGAAATGAACTGTATGGATCATAATAAATGATGGTAACATTATAATTATACCATGCATTTTCACATGTGACACAACTTAAATTACTCCGTCACTCCCATGGCAGTGTGGAATAAAATATATAATAAATTAAGCACATAAAAAATGATACTCCTCCGGTCCTAATTATAAGACCCAATTGACTTATTTGAGGAGATTAAGGAAGAAAGTTAAGTTGATTATTTATAATAAATAAGTGTTGTTATTCCTAAAATATCTTTGCTAATTAAGTATATTGGCTAAAACTATCATTATTAGAAGGATTATCTTGGAAAAAAATGCATAAATATAAGAGAGAAAATGGATTGGGTCTTATAATTAGGACCAAATAAAAAGTCAAATTGGGTCTTATAATAAGGACCGGAGGAGTATCACTTAAGATTCCATTTTTTTTTTCTTTTGCCAACACGCAAGTAGGATTCCTTATACAATTGGGAGTTGGAAGAAGATCCCAAGCGCATAAATAAATAAATAAATACTAGGCATAAACATGATTTAAAAGTGATTAGCATATGGGATACGGGAGCGCGGTGTATCAGTGTATGTTAAAAAAATTGCCATTGGATCCGCAGATCAAATAATGAGGAGTGTGAAGCGGCGCAAAATCCCAGAGCGAGTGACGTGGCGGTAGGAGTGAAAATGATTTTCGAAATCAGTGGAAAATACTGAGTCCTTTTTTTTTTTTTTTTTTTATATTTTGAACCTTGTGAGTTTAGCAGCGGGGGTAGGAAGCGAGGGGCACGTGGGGGTTTTGGAGGTGGGCCCGGGGGGGGTAATAGCGGGACGAAAAAAGCAACGGGAAAGGTAAGGAACACATAATATTATTATTAGCTGACACTGATAACGGAAGCGCAAATCTCAATCTGAACGAGCAATGACACAAACTGAACGTGAAATCTGAAGAATCCATATCACAAAAGTAAATTTGGCCAAAAAACAAAAAACACACGGATAAATAAACAAACAAAGTAGAAGTCCCGGCCGACAAATAAATATATAAAGTGGAAGGACGGGCGGCAAAGCGCATGAGCAGATCGATATTTTGACTTAATTTGGTGGAAAAAATTGGTGAAAATTTTTTATTTTAGAATTTTATTAATGAAAAGAACCTGATTTATTTTCATATACAAAAAATATCAGCGTTCTAAAAGATTTTATACCATTTTCAAATTTTACATCCTACTAACCAACAAAACTTTTAAATAAGAATTTCACTAATTTTTCTTATAAGTTTAATTTCTTTTAAAAAGTGATTTTAATTAAGTTAGATGAGATAATTGTTAAAAGAATTTTAAATATGAGGGAGTGTAGAAAAAATTCAACTTGTTTTAATAAGCTAGTGAAAAATAAGTTATCAAAATAAATTTTATTCAAGGCACTTTATCTTTGGTTTAAGATTTTTCTCAAAAACTTCATTTAATGAAAATATGGATTCGTACTCAAAATCACTTATAGGTATATTTTATGCAAATTAAAATAAAATTTATTTCATATATTTATCTTTCGTTTCATAAAAAATAATTAAAATTGTTTATAAATTACTTATCCGACTTTCAACTGCCTGCGGATCAGAAAGGGAGCAGAGTGAAAGGCGGCGGCTGCTTAGTAAACGTGCGCAATTACTATTTAGTGGCCACCAACCATTCAGCGGCTGTGACGGTTAGAGGCGGGTTGTGTTCTCGTGCCTTTTCGTGGGGGCCCCAATGCCCTCTAGCAACCTCATCCCCTGCTCTGCCCCAACCTACCACCGTCTCCTACTCTTCCGCCTATCTCCCAACCCCTCTTCATTTACTTCTCCACCTCAGCCCCCTCTACTTCATCCTCAATTTTTATGCCCGCCTCTGACTCTTTGATTATTGCCGCCTAATTTTAATTACCATGACATCCTCATTACCTTCTCATTTCATCCAAATACTTGATAGGAGTACTAATTAAGGTCTGTTGTGTTAATGAATCTTGCAATCATAAAATATGCATAATTCATACTCTGATAATTATTAAGTAATTAAATTTACAAATGATTAGTTCTTTGATTTTGATTTTTTTTGTCATGCCCTTATAATTGGGCTACAGTTTTTTTTTTTTAAGATTTCAACTTATTTTTATCAATTGGCAACATACCTGTTGGGATAAGTGTTTACATTTTGTGTTTAATAGTGTCTCAAATAGGATTACCTCTAATAGAAGGATATTTATGTTTTAGTAAAAAAAAAAAATTACAACGTAGTTATGCACCAATTAAGCGAAGGCATTTTAACCCACTTATTCCTCTTTTAAAAAAATATCCTGGTTCTTATATGGAATTTTAAAAAATCATAATAATTTAAAATAATTAATTGCCTTTGGCGATCGTTGTATGTAATTTTTCCTGCCTATCTAGCTTTTTGAATTTCTTCCCAATGAACGAATGATGTCCTTTGGAATGCCATAAAAAATGAAGCAAGTGGAAGAAGGCACACAACGCATTTTGGTATTGGAATGGAATCCTGAATGCCTCCCGCGCCACTCTCAACAGCCTTTGAATGGCAAGCTGGCTTTGGAGAATCAGTTGGTCTTTTACCATTTCAAAAGGGGGGACTCTGCCTCAGCAACACTGGGATAACGATCGAAATCTCTTAATTTGTCAATTTGCCCTTGGTCGCAGGTCAAGTCCTTCAAACATAAACGCAAGAAGACCATTTCCTCAGCAACCTTGATATGTAGCCAAACTGTTTGGAAGGCGGTCCTACCAAAAATTAAAAATAAAACAGGATTATGACGCGCTGCCTTTATTCGTTCATCATCATGCAGAATAGACTTCAAATCATACGATGGAAACGGCTGCACACGACAGATGAACCCACAATACTTGTGGCTAGCCTGTATGTCTTCAGCAGTTACTCGTCCGGATTGTTAGTGGGTTTTCTATCCTTCCAGACGCGGTACTTTCGCCGTGTCACAATTGATTCCCCACTGGATGCCCGTTTCTGATATTATTCACAACTTCAATTTATACATTTTATTAGAGTTTCTGATGTTATAAATTAAACACATTGAGATTTTTTTTTTGCCAGAATATTGACAGAGCATTACCTTGCATTCCTGCAATTAATTTCTTTAAAAAATAATAATACAAATAAAAAAGACAAACGACGTGTGATATTCATTTTGCCAAGTTTTGTTCATTTAGGTCCCGTTTGATGGAGCGGTAAAAATTCTCATAAATTTGTTTTATGCAAGTCGAGACAAAATTTCTCTTATATACTTATTTCGTATTTTGTAAATTACTGTTTAAAAACTGCTTATAAACTGTTTTAAATATTTCAAATAGGGCCTGTTTGGTTTGAGGGGAGGGTAGGGAAGGGAGGGGAGGTTTTATCCTCACTTTGTTTAGTTTGATTAAAAAGGAAGGGAGAGGAGGATATTTAATGATCCCTTGTTTGCTTCAAGGATGGGAGATAAAAGATATTTTTTCTTTTGCATCACTTTGACATGTATGAAAAAAGAATTGTGACGTCTCATTTCTTACATCTATAGTCTTTTTGCCCTGGTGGATCTCTTTCTCATTTAAGAAAAATATGGAATCTTGGGTTACTAATTGGTCAAATACTAGGCAATCCGAAATTTTCTTGAATGATATTCAAGAAAAGAGTATTCTAAAAAAATTCATAGAATTAGAGGAACTGTTACTCTTGGAGAGGGATAGTAATAATCAATTTACCATTTTATCCTTACATATTAGTTTATATTTTTTATTAATATATTATATAAATTAATTTACATCTTAATTTAAATTATATAATTTAATAAAAATTCAGTCTTATCATGTTAATATGTGCATTAAAAAATTGGTACAATAATTTTTTATTCTAATTAATATAATAATATATTTAAAATAATTAAATTAACAAATTTTATATGTTCTAAGAAAAATGAAATTTTATTCTCTCTAGGCTATCCTTTTTTCAGCTTTAAAATATATTTAATAAATAATATATTTATAAAAAACAATTAATTTTATAATATTATAATTTTTTAATTATAATAATTTTTATTTTTATTTTTTACTTAGAATAATATATTTTTTATTTGAAATAAATATTATAATAATATATTTTATGGTTAGTACTAAAATATTAAAAAAACTATAAGGGTATAATGGTCCAAAACTTTAACTCCCCTCCAAAAACCGCCAATTTGAAGGGGAGCTAAAATGGAAGGAGGGAGGGGAGGGGACATTTTGGCTCCCTTTCCCTCCAAAATTTTTAACCAAATAAGAGGAGGGGCTCATTTTCTCTCACCTCCCCTGTCTTCCCCCCAACCAAACAAATCCTTAGTCCCGGCTCACATCACACATTCCCTTTGGCGGTGCCACCTTCCGCAGCTATTTATGCCCCCACCCCGCGTCTCATTTCCAACATAGCCGGCTTCCCTCGCCCCAAGATATTCAAAGTTTCAAACACACTTCCATGGCTTCCGCAGCTACAGTTCCCTCACCGGCACCCCAAAAACTTCACCCTTCCGACATTTCAAGCATCAAAGACTTCGCCGAATCAATCGCCGGCTCTGCCATCCCTTCCACCTACCACTCCATCACGGAAGGTCGCGATGATGTCGCCGATGAGCTGGCCGCTTCCCTCCCTGTCATCGACCTCTCCCTCCTCACCTCCACGGATCCTGTAATCCACGCTGGCGCCGTTCGCGAACTTGGCAGGGCCTGCCAAGATTGGGGCTTCTTCTTGGTAATTTTCAGCCTTTTCTTTTTATCCAACGCATGCATTCCATTGGTATCTTACATGGAGTTAATTTCCTCTTTGACTTTGTACGTCCAGCTCATAAATCACGGAATTTCGGAGAGCCTGATAGAGGATGTGGTGAAAAAGTCTCTTGAGTTTCACAACCTGCCATTCGAAGAGAAGAACGAATTCAACGACGAAGGTATGTTTGCACCCATCAGATACGGTACCAGCGCCCTTCCCCACGGAATAGGAGAGACTGTTCATTACTGGAGAGATTATCTAAAGATCACAACTTTTCCGGAGTTCAACTTTCCCAACAAGCCTCCTGGTTTCAAGTATGTTCAACTTAGTCCTCTTCGTTTCATCTTCTTCCTCCTCTTCCTTTTTGAATTGCTTCTTGTCTATCTCTTACGGACCTCCTTCCTTTTGTTTTTGCAGGGAGGTTGGCTACGATTATAGCCGAAAAATCAGAGCTGCGGCGAGAACTCTGCTTCAAGGAATATCAGAGAGTTTAGGATTAGAACCCAATACCATCGTTGAATCCACAAATTTTGATTCTGGATTTCAAAAGTTTCAAGTGAATTTATACCCTCCCTGCCCCCAGCCAGACCTTACTCTTGGACTGCCTGCTCACACTGACAATGGATTTCTGACCCTCCTCATCCAAAATGGGATCGGAGGTCTTCAGTTGAAGCATGAAGGCAAATGGGTTAATGTCACTCCTCTGCCTAACTGCATCATCGTCAACACCGGCGATCAGCTTGAGGTTTCTCCTGCTTTAATAAGTTGCACACTTGACATCTAGACTGCCTTAAAACATTCTTTTAAAAAAAAAATAATTGGATGAAATTATAAAGAAAATTCAAAGGCTATAATTCAATCCATCGTTTGCTTGATTATTGTACGTTTGCGATGGTTCTAGGCTGACTTGAAATCGCTTGCTGTGGTTGAAATGTTAGGTTGTGAGCAACGGGAGGTACAAGAGCATTTGGCACCGAGTGGTGGTGAACGAGAGAGTGACGAGGGTTAGTCTGGCGTTGGGGAACGGACCGCCATATGATCAAGAAATTGGACCTCTGCCGCAGTTACTGGAGAAGGAAAAGCCAGTGTTCAGAAGCATCACTTACAGGGAGTTCCTTAAGCTTCAGCAGAAGGTGAGATGTGACAATAAGCCCAGAGGGTTGGAAGAGCTTCGAATTAAACCTCAGGATTAATGGAGTCTGCGAGTTTTCTAGATAGCCCATTGCGTCGGTGATGAATTGCAGTTAGCCGTGGTTGTTATTGTACCTTATTCGGACTGTTCATTGCGGTCAAACAATACTATTCAGAGTTGTCAGGTTTCAAGCGAGTGATGGCAAGAGTAGGTGAGTGAATAATGGAGGTCATGTAATGTTAAAGTAAAATGATGTTCCTGCGTGAGTATTGGGCACTGCCTTTTAGATAAAGCAACTTTACTTGTGAGCACTTCAGCTTATTAGCTCGGATTGTCTTGTCTCTCGAGTGGGCAGTGGCGATCTTATTTAGAATTCTAGTATTTTTCGTGATATCATCACATATCTAAAAAGTTTCTCTCTGTTTTTTTGCCCCCCAAATGCACACGCATGTACGTAAACTAGTTTAGTAATTTCAACTGAAGACCCAAAAAAAAAAATTGGATGCATATATAACCTGTGCAAAGGAGGAAATGAAATCTTTTTCAAGGATTTTTTAAAGAGTCCATCTCTAACCGGGAGACAACGTGCTAAAACTAAAGGTAACAGGTTGAACCGCCATGCAATCTGGAAGCAGAAGACAGACATAGCAGAAAAGGAACCCACGGAAATGGTAACATGCTTGAGTTTGTACCGAAATTGTAATTTTTGAGGCTCGTAGGAGGAAGAAGGACATTGAAGTAAATTGGCAAGATGTGAGAGAGAAGAGTATCTTCATAAGGGGGTGGTGCCTGCCAGGGGAGTTCGTCGAAAAGAAGACTCCAGTAATCTATTGAAAAGCCACCACCAGAGCATTGTGCAGAAAGCTAATAATAGATTCGTAACAGCCCTCGTGGAAACTCACTTTAATTTCAAGCTCTCTAGTGAGAATGCTGGCAGTTATGGAGTGATTCGTATGACTATTTTGTTGATTTAATAAGAGGGGCATTTTTTTTATCAATTATGTTGTTTTCAATTTCAGTAATAGATCAAGATCTTCTAATGATATTTCAAAAATTCGAGGTCCTTAAATGTCATGGTTAGGGCGTGAGTGTCTACAAAGTTCATTCTCCCTCAGCTAATCTTCAGAGCCCGCACGATGGGGTTGATCTTGCAGTGCATTAGTGATCTCTCCCTTCCTTTTCGAACGGGTTTAAAATATTTGATGTTTACGGATCCGCTGACGGCTTCATCTTGAAACTTCTGCCCGTGGGGAAACCCGCGGCTGTTCGTGCAATTGCCAATTGAGCCACTATCACTTTCGAAGAAATATTTCGGGTGGTGCAAGTGTTACTCTCTCGTGATCTCTATGCTTATGGCCTATAATTGGAATGGCATTTCAAAATTTGGATCAGATCCTCGAGCGACATGAATCTTTCGTACACAAATTGATGAGTTTGACAAGTGCGGGTGGGGAAAATTTTTTTCCCCCCTAAACACATGTATCTTTTTCTTTTTAAGAGAAGCAATCTTTTTCGAGCTACTATTAAAAACTAAATATAAACGCTTCTTCTATCAAGAATTTGAAACTCAATTCTTCATCTTGTTAGGAATTAACGCTTTCTCCAGACCCAACTTCAGTTGGTTGAACTAGCGGAAACGTGGAGTAGAATAGAAATTGCAATTGCCCTGTGCCTGGTGGAATTTCGTTTGCCAAAGAGTTTAACTCCTGGGCTGCGTGAAGGTAACAGCGCAACTCCTCACGGCGCACTCTCTGCTTCCTTGGACTTTCCAATTTGTAGCCCATGTCAACCCCCACCCCCAAAACACCAAAAACAAAGAAAAACCCAACGAAGTGTGGAAGATATCAAGTATTGATGGATACTCTATTGTCCCGTGTTGCTTTCAACGTGTTTTATCAGAATAAATATCAACTTGAAATCTTATTGATCCTATCTTAATATTTATATTTTTTTAAAATTGTACAATCTGCATAATAATAAATAGGGAGTAAGATAGTATATTTATACTAATATTTTAATGAAGTGACTTGTAAATAAAACTAAGAAGAACTTTCTCTTTATGCTCTATAATTGGGAGCGGCAGAGCCTGGCCTTATGTTTTGATTATATATATATATATATATATATATATATATATATAAGTTTTCAGGATTTAAATACTGGTTTGTGATTATTATGAGGGATTTAAATAAGAGGAGTGTAGATGGTGATGGGAATTGAGCGGTAGAGGAAGAATGATAGTTGGAGGAGGGTATCAAAGAAAAATGATAACCGGAGGAATTATCTTGCGAGGGAGTAATAATAATAAGCAGAAGGGAGATATCATGTGATACGTGGTGAATTGAGTGGAGGAGGAGGCCGGACCAGGCAATGAGAGGTCAGAGACATGAATGGACGTGGGACGGTGGAGGTGCCGTGCGGAGATAGAATGAGTGAACCCCACCTACAGCAACAACTCCATGTGTCCCCCTCAACAATCCTCTTCTCTTTTATTTATCGTTACGTCAACATCTTAATAATTAAAGTTAATATTTTCATAATATAAACGCAGTGATTGAGAAAGGGGGTGGAAATAGGACGGAGACGAAAGAGGTGTGAATTTCCGTCTGTGTTCATTTCATCAGGTGTTAATATTTGTCGTTATCGTGCCAGCAATCGCCCACTGCCCCGTGGCTCCCCTGCATTCTTTTGTCCTTATATATCCTCCGAATATCCCTCCCTCGCCATCTGAATTTGAATTAATGGTATTTTCAGAAAATTAATCTGGCAGTAATTTCATCATTCAATTGTGGTGTATATGTAATTTCCAAGGCAACAACTAAATTACATACTGCTCATTGTTTTATTGCTTACCTCGTATATCTGAAGTCCTTTTTTTTTTTCCCTTCTTTTTTTAAACCAAGACATTCGTGTTGTAATGCGTCAAAAGAACCTTGTTCTGTTGAATTTGCAAGTCTCGTGCAAAGTTACTGTAGAGGCTGCCGTAATTATGCCTTTCAGCTTTACGTTGTTTGTTGATGGACTATAGGTCCACTTTGCTTGGTTTTTTTTTTTTTTTTATAGTGGAGTCCCTTAAATCTGTTTATCGTTTTAATTTTAATATGTATGGAATAACGAATTGTAAAACATTTATATGGAAATAAGACGGGTTATTGTTTATAAAATAAGTTGTTGTTGATATCTGAGTATAAATGAGGACAGTGAATTTTAAAATCAAACAAATTCTTGTTTATTTCGGCCCATTCCCATGCAGGACGACTAACCTGAAATAAATAAAGTTGTCTGGTTATCCCAAAAAAAAACAGAAGACGTGCTCAGAAGTAAAAAATACTACGTCCGATCTTAATTATAAGATCTTATTCATATTCTATAAATAATGTGTTATAAATGGAACCGGAGGTGGTAATTATTCACACTTTGACTATTCTGGTTGTTCATGCCGTATATAAAAATATATTCATTTGATTATCAAAAATATATATTTATTAATACTTTTATTGTCACATTTATTCACTTTTAAATTATATTTTTCATCTCCTAAACATTATTATTTATTATTACATCACACTATCAATATCTGCTCAATAATTGATAAGCAAAAAGCAAATTGAAATTGGCGGAAGTGGTAACACCGCTCTCGTTTTAGAGCTGGTGGAGCTGCGGTCCCCAAACTGTGTGTAGCACGTCGTACGTGCAGTCTGTGCGCGTAGCGACAGCGTTTCGTCCTACCCCGCCCTTCTTTGACAATCACGTTTTGCTGCCCCTCCCTGCCGTCTCCTCCACTTTTCGTCTTTCTTTCCTATTTTCATTTTTTTTGAAATAAAAATCAAGTTGCATTTACATATAGAAGAAAAATATTTATTTAAAATCATATTTACTGTCACTACATGACAAATGTATAAATTGTTTAATCGCTCAAAATTTAATATCAAAGTTTTAAAAATAACCTTATTCGGACCTAATATATATGTGGAGACAACGTCGCTGTGAGTTTTCGAAATGAGCCATCATGCCCCACTCAAACAGCAGTCCAAACAGTCATTTTCCACTTTTGCCCTGCATGATTCCACATGGTTATGACCATGATTTCTTTCTTTTTTTTACTACTGCTTTTGCCCTGGAAAGTTTGCGCAAAATGTCGTCCTCAAAATGCTTAAAAGATGACTAATATTGCTCAAATTTATCGCAGTTACTGAAGAAGGAAAAGCAAGGACTACATGTTACTTCAACAGAAGGCTCGCCGCGTGGAAGGCAGGGCCCTGGATAACCTCCGCGTTAATTAATTAATTAGTTAGCCATCTTTTTATCACGTCTTGTTTTCTCAATTAATTAAGCCAGCTCTATATATCCACTCTTCATTGAAAGAGAAAGGCCTTTTCCAGTTATCTCTTGCGGGGTGGATGGCAGTGGCACGTACAATATGATGATGGTCACTAATATTAATAAGTTGGTTAGCCAGTTTTATGACTGTTCGTGCACAGTTGGTTGTCCAGTTTTATGACTGTTCTTGGTTAGCCAGTCGCCCATCATTCGATTTCTTCCTTCACACACGGGAGGAAAATAAAATACTCCTAGTTATGCCTAATCATGTCTGCATTATTAAGAACAAGCAGTTCATTCATCAATTTTTTTCCGAAAAATAATTAATAGCTCATCACATTATACTTATAATGAGATCATTAACTTCTTTAAGAGAGCATCTTATATCAAGAGCTTCGGATGTTGTTAAAGAAGCCGGTTTCGGCTCCGATTTCACCACCCCGCTTAATTATTCTAAGGTCCGTTATTCTTTGAAAACATGAAAAACTCTAAAATTATGTGTTATAATTAAGGAATGATAAATGTTTTAAATCACAGTAAAATTTAATTGCTCCATCCAATCCCACGCATAAAACTAAAGAAACTATTAATTCAGGGATATTAACAAAATTGGTCAAGTATAATATATGTGATTATTAGGTGAAAATGGGTTCACCTTTGTTTGTAATTTGGTCAGAGCAGGCACTGATGGTACCCGCAGCGGACTCTGCCTGCTCCAGAGAGCCAGGTTGAGTTACTACTGGTTTTGTAGCTTCTGTTTCATTTTTCAAACCAAAAACAGACGCAGAGGGTCATGCACGTGAATCCGATTAATCATGTCAGCTGCGACCGCCCAAATGCCATTGTCCTGTTTGCTATTAAGAGATGTTTGGATGGAAACTAAACCATGGTTTCAGAAGTGTTTTAACAGTTTACGAAGTAAATATATGAAAGAGTTTACCTCGTTTTATAAAAAAATATATCTGATAAGCACTTTTGAGGGTTACCAAACACCCATTAAAATTGAAATCACTTATAAATACATTTTACGTAAATCGATATAAAATTTCTTTTATATTATTTTGTAAATCATGATTAAAAA